TTTCCCAGTCACAGTGTTAAGAGTTTAAAAGCATTATAGTAAGAAAGAATTATATGTGCAAAGACCTATGGGAAAAACATCATTCAGAGCATTCCAGTAGTTGGATGCCACCACTTGTTTGTCAGTTTGTCATACTGTGGTGGCTTGCATGTTGCTGTGATTCTGAAAGTTATACCTTGGGTATTTTAAATACCAGCAGGGTCACCCACAGTGGCCAGGTTTCAGCTGGGCTTCCAGACGAAGACAGACTAGGAAGAAGGAGAGACGGACTACTTATGAATATTTAGTCACTGAAAACCTTATGAATAGCAGTGGAACACTGTCAGCACAAGAATACTGAATACTGAAACATAATGAAAATTGTCAGATATAGATAGTGCTAGAATATTGTCAGATATAGATAGTGCCAGAAGACGAGCCTCTCAGATTGGAAGGCACTCAAAATATGACTAGGGAAGAGTTGCCTCCTCAAAGTAGAGTTGACTGTGATGATGTGAATGGAGTAAAGCCCTTGGGGGTGATGTGGCACAACTCAAAATGAAGAGAAAGAGCTGTAAACAACCATTAATCATCAAAACATGGAATTTACAAAGTATGAATATGGGAAAATTGTCAAAAATTAAATGGAATGCATAAACATCAATATTCTAGGCATTAATGAGCTGAAGAAGAAATTGAAGAGTAATGGCGTCACATTCATCAACTAAAAGAATATCTCAAGATCTTACTTGAAGTTCAATGCTATATATGATAGGATAATATCCATATACCTACAAGGAAGACCAATTAATATCACTATTATTCAAATTTACACACCTACCACTAAAGCCAGTGACGATGACATTGAAGAATTCTACCAGTTTCTTCAGTCTAAAATTGATCAAGCATTGCAGTCAAGGTGTATTGAGGATGGCTGATTAGGAAGTGGCTCCGTGCAGACCTTTGCCAGCAGTAACACAAAATACTGGACGAAGTAGGTTCAGGGGATGGTCCTGAAACTGTGAACTACATGTAAAGGGATATTTACATGTATCAAAGGCTCACTACTAGTGGAATTTGTAGCAGAAGCAAGAAAAATGACATTTTCTGAGTGGTAGCTGCTGGTTGAAGCCCTGCACAGCCGTCTTGAACAGGATGCAGCAAATATGGGAGCAGGAAAGAAATCCCATCACTAACACCTGACAGATTCTCAGTGGTAAAGGTGTGAACAATCTTACTTCTGCTCATTTATCTGTGGGTGTACCTCCACTCTGGTAACTAGAGGGGTGGGGCCTCAGCGAGTGGATACTCCACCCCCGACCCCTGGAGGGTTCTACTGTGCATGTGCATAGATCTGCGCAGCAAAGACCACTGGGCCCAGAATAGAAGAAGGGGAGGAGTCGACAGGAATAGCATAAAACAGCCTGGCCAACTGAGAAACACCTAGACTAGTTTATAGAGAAGGAGGACAGGCAAAAGAGGAAAGAGGCCAAACATTTTGAAATTTCTCAGGTGACCTTGAAGGCAAGAAGATGAAAAAAGTGCGTTAAAGTCTTACTCATATTTTGCTAAGGGTTTTTGTTTGTTTGTTTAGTTGTTATTGTTGTTTTTTTTGCCAAATGTAGACTTTAGTGTCAAATCATTTTTTTCTTTTGTGGCGAATATACAGCAATTGCTGTGTTGGAAGACATACAGATAGAATGCACCTTGGAAGTCAGGATGACCAGATTTCATCTCTCAAGTTATTTTATCAGGAGGGACCAGTCCATGGAGAAGGACATTTTGGGTAAAGTGGAAGGTCAGACAAAAAGAGGAAGGCTCCCAATGAGAGATGTATTACCACAGTGACAGCAGCAGTGGGCTCAAACATTGTGAGGTTGATACAAGACCTGGCACTGTTTCGTTCTGTTGTGCATGTGGTTGCTATGCATCAGTATCAATTTGATGACACCTAACAACAACAACAGAAAGTCGCTGAATAAGAATCAAAAGGGTTCTTAGAGAACAAAGGAGAAAGTGGCAGGGAGAAATGCAGAAGGGAGAGGCAGAGACCAAATTCTGTGCATTCTTAGCAATCCTAAGGGCTTTTATTTGAGGACACTTGTAAACCCCTTAATCTTTAAGGATTTGGCAAGATCAGATTGAAGTTTTTAATGACTATGGTTATGCTGTAGACTAATGTCTTAGACTGCAAGGTCTGTTTGAACCTCAAGATTGGCGGTTCAAGCACACCAGCCACTCCTCAGAAACCCTATACAGGGTTGCTATGAGTTAGAACCAACTTGATGGTTAGCAACAACAACAACAGCATAGTTAAACTCTGAAGATAAATTAGAAGGCAGAAGTGAAAGCAAGAACTGTGTGAGACTTCTCATATTGCATAGAAAGATGGTGATATTTTAGATGAGGTGGTATTTTATTTTTAAGCACACTGTAAGAGAAATGTTAATGTTTGTTCTTAATAGTGGAGATAAAGTATCTCTGATTTTAAAAATTAACCTCTTAAATTTCTATTTTAGGATTTTCTGTGGCACCCAGAAGTTAATGGTTCTATGAAACAATGCATCAAAGTATGGACCGAGGTCTGTATTTGAGATTACATTTAGGCTTTTCTGATGTGGATTAATCAGATTTTGAACAACCCTGAGCATCATCCACTATTATTTATTTCACTTTACTCGCCAGCCCTATTCTCCTAGAATATAGCTCAGAGCTCTTTCTAATAGCCACTAAGCAGTGCTGGACTGATCTGTCACTATGGATCCACTGTCTCTTCCTCACTGTCACATTCTACCCCTAAAACATGTTATGCTTACATCATACTTTCCAGATGTAACAGTTTTTTATTACTGCTAAAACTTAACTGAAACCCAGGTCATTTTTGTAGCACTGTACACATTCCCTTGAACATTTTCCTGTTTTTTCTGGCACCCAGATACTTCAGTAACTACTCCTTTTTTCTTGTTTTTTAAATAACCTATTTTTGCCCCTTTTATTATATTTGTGACCCAAAAGACATGCCTAATAATCTTTAACTCATTAATGTTTGGAGATAAGTTAGATATAAAGAGCAAGCATGCTGTTAACCTCAGAAGCCCATGAGTTCTCAAAAGTTCACTTGAGATTCTCCACAGTTGTCTCCATCTAGCGGCTTTGTTAGTCTTTCCATTATATCTGTGTTCTTTGCTATAGGCATTTGCATTGGGCAAATGGGTAAAACAATATTAGATTTTGTTGACTTTGTTTTGCTTAATTCATTGTACTGCAGTGATTTTTTATTTGCTTCTTTTTGCACTAAATGTCCTGCATTTTTTTGCCCTAAATGGATTGCAACTACATCACATACTTAATAGGCTTTTGTAAGATCCTGTGGGAATCTAGTATATTTCTAACACTAGTTTATTTATTAGAAAGTATGTCTCTAGTTCCAAAAAGCAAGCATGCAGACAAGTTTAGAATTCAACTTTCTGGTAAATTGGGATCTTCACATATACTCACTTCTCACTTATCAACAAGGTTAAGTTCCAAAGACCAGGTCGTTATGTGGAAATTGATGTTATGTGGAAATTGGTGTCACCTGTACTGTGAACGTCCCATCAGGCCCCTGGTGAGATCACCTTCACTGCTGCCTCTTCCTCCTCAGGTTCTCTCAGGGGAGGTCTACCCAGTTTTACATAGCCAGAGTGGCCTAAGTGTTGCCCTCACCCCCCTCCTCTAGCTCCATACCTTTCCTGCCCTCAGTGTATTTCCAGTATGAGTCGTCCCACATCATCCCCTCAGGGACCCCAAAATGCCTTTGGTAACTTTGTCAGGACAATGGGCTCCCTATCTGTGGGAAAGAGGCCCTAAGTGCCATAGTAGGGGTTTACACTGCCTACTGTGTCCCTACACCAGTCCCTTGTCCCAGGATCTCCCAACTCTCACTGCCTTCTTTTACCATGAGAATTGACATTCCCAAGTTTCTCCTGAGGCCCTGCCTCTGCCTTTGACCTTGAATTACAGTTGCTGCTGGATGCTCAACCACTGACCCTACCTCTGCCATCACCTGTGCTTACCCAGAAGAGATGACAAGGAAGCATAAGGGACATCATAGGTGTCGGTCAGCTAACATGGGAGTCCACTGTCCCCAGATATCCAAGTGTCTCATCTCAGGGCTCCTTCTGACAACTTGTCTGTCCTGTAACCTCTTGGGACTGGTAGTTAGGGCAAAACCCTGGGGTCCCACTTTTTCCCCAGCTCCAAGGGTGGCCCACCTTCAGGACACTGGCTACCATTTCCCCAGCCACAGTCCCTTGTGAACACCTAGGACTTGATAGGCAGTATTCCATCCCTACCAGTCCCACTCCAGCTCACACCACCCCCTACTTCCAGCTCAGCCCGGCACTCCTGGTTAATGAAATACTATGCAACACAAGTTTCCTTTCTTATGTGCACATGGGTCTGCTGGTCAGGGAACCTGTTCAGGGACAATGACGTTCCTTATACCAGATGTGCATTATTAATACACAGAATAGTTGGATAGTAAAATGGTGAATATATATATATAATTAGTTGAAATTGAGGTGTATACCATGTTTTTATTGCTATGTTAAAAGATACCCAGAAATGTGATAATTTTTATATATTTAAAATAAAATATTTCATATATAAGGGGGCTCCAAAAAGCCTGTGGAAAAATCTTTTAATTACATTTTTCATGAACTTTTTTAACCCCCTTATATGTGCTGGCCGTAAAAATATATCCTTCAAAGAGTGAAGAAATTCACCATAAGTGTTAGTAAAGTATAATTTTTAAGTCCTGTAAAAACCACAGAAAACCTCTAGGTTATTTATTAATCTGGAGATATAGTATATTTCTAAAATTTAAATTCTAAGAGATTTTGCTTTTTGTGTGTGTGTATGTGTGTGGTATGGGTGAAATTTTACAGACAGATTAGTGTTTCATTCAACAATGTATATACCTTTTGGTTCATGACATTAATTGCAGTCCCCATAGGACTGTAGCATTTTCCCCACCCTCTCCTGTATTCCTCCTTTCCATTTGTCCTTTCTTGCCTCTCTCTGTCTTGTAAACTTTGTTTTGAGACAAATTCTGTCCATTGGACTCACGTGGCTTACTGTTCTAAAGAATATGTTTTCCCTGATGGTAGTATTCATTTTACAAGCCTGGCTGTTATTTGACTGAAAGTGGGTTCAGTAACTGAGTTTGAAGATTTTCTAAGGGCCAGTTTTAGGGATTCTTTCAGTCTATCGGAGTCCTGGTGTGGCGCTGTGGGTTAATGCGTCAGACTGCAAAGCCATTTGAACTGCAAGGTCAGCGGTTCAAGCTCACCAGCTGCTCCTTGGAAACACTATTCAGGGTTGCTATGGGTCGGAATTGACTTGACGGCACTTCACAACAATAACACCAGTCTCTATCAGATCAGTAAGTCGCATTTTTCAAGATTTTGAATTTAGTTCCACATTTTTCTCTCACTCTATTTAAAACCTGTTGGAGTCCTGGTGTGGCTCTGTAAGATAAGCACTGGACTGCTAACTGCAAGGTCAGCTGTTCAAATTCACTAGCCACTGCTCAGAAACCCTGTACCCTGTACAGGGTTGCAATGAGTTGGAACTGACTCAGTATCACTTAACAGCAACATTGTGTTCACACACATACAATAGAAGGTCCAAACTAGAGTGGGAGCAGAGTCCACGTCTATCTCTGTAGGATCAGTACTAGACTTTGAACTGCGAGGGCAGCAGTTCATACCCACCAGCTGTTCCGTGGAAAACCCTGTACAGGGTTGCTATGAGTTAGAACTCACTTGATGGCACTGAATAGCAACAACGTTGTGATCCCAATCAGAACGGTCAGCAGTGGTAGTCAGGCACCTTCTAATTCTGGTCTCAGCGTAGTGAGGCTGAGATGCCATGGTCTTTGGACTCACTGTTTCTTGGATCTTTGATGTCTTTTATTCTTTGATTCAGATGGGGAGAGACAAGTAGGTACACCTTATAATTTACCTAAATTAGTTTTTGGAGTCATAAATTCTATCATAAAACTTTTTATGATTGTTAAAAGAAAGGGAAATTTCAACTAAATGTCCATGTAACTACCAAACATTGATTATTTGATTGTTTTCATTCATTTAACAAATATTTATTTATTAATATTAAGGAATTAACCATTTATTTTGTGACAAGTTAAAAGGTTTGCCTTATAACCACCCCCTTAAACCTTTTTTTTTGTATATGTTGTTGTTGTTGTTAAGTGCCGTCGAGTCGGTTTCGACCCATAGCGACCCTGTAAAGGGTTTCCAAGGGTGTAAATCTTTATGGGAGTAGAAAGCCTGATCTTTCTCCCGCGGAGCAGCTGGTAGTTTTGAACTGCTGACCTTAAGGTTCGCAGCCCAATTCGTAACCACTACGCTACCAGAGCTATATCTCTTAAAGAGTCCTCATGCTATTCTTTGTAAGCATATAAAGCTTTAGGCACTAGATACCTATCTTGTTATAACAAGATTGTGGAAGAAACTCTAGAAAATTAATATACATTTAGAAGGAAAAAGAACTTAAGTGTTAAGAAAAACAATCAATGATGCAACTTATACTCATTCTCTTAACTGGTGATTACATTATTATAAAGGTTTTGTTTTCCCTATAGGATTCTGTTGCAAAACCTCATGTAATTGTAGCAGGAGCTGCCACAGTAAGTAACTAGTTTTATTCCAAGTAATGATTTTTGTTCTATTTTAAGGATGTGCTAAGAAAAAATATTTACTATGCTTAGATAGAATTCTTGATTGTACTTATGTTTTAATTTATATTATAATCTATTAATCTGATGAATATTAATTAAAATATATGAATAATTTATGACATATGGTAGTAAATATTGGTATCATTATCTCCAAAATTGTATTTTTCTTGAATGTTCAAATTTAAAAGAGTAATTTTATAACAATTTTTTCTGTCTTCATATGTGAAGAGAAGTCAAAATTATTGTTATAAAAATCATAGAAGTCTTTATTAAACAAAAAATAGCAAAATGTGAAGCTGTTGTTTTTCACTATATCCCTCATTTCTGAAGGTGTTATTTCTAGAGAGATCAAATCGTATCCTTTTCAATGTCCTTTGAATTTGGGAAGCAAAAAGAAGTCTCAGGAGGCAAGATCAGAGCTGTTGGGTAGATGGGATACTCTTTCCCAACAAAATTCTTGCAGGACAGCCCTGCTACCTGTGAAGAATGAGCAGATGAATTGTTATAATAGAAAACAGTTCCTAGCCACAACCTGACCTTTTTCTCACATGTGCAGTTTTCTATTTTCTTCAGAGTTCATCATAATAAGTACCTGTGACTGTCCTATATCCTTCAAGAAAATCTGTCAGGATTACCCCCTTTGGGATCCTAAGAAACGGTCACTATAACCTTCTGAGTTGACCCTTCTGCCTTGAATTTAACTGGTCCAGCAGATCCCTTTGGAAGCCACTGTTTTTTTTTTATTAGATCTTTTTAAAAACTTAATATTGTGAATTGAGTGAAGGCTTACAGGACAGAGCATCAGTTTTACATTCAAGAAATTATACATCATTCCATCTTAATGATTCTAATCCCCTCAATGTAACATCACCTATCCGTCTTCCTCTCTGTTTCCATTTTCCTCCTTTTCCAACCCTTCTGAATTTTTTCCTGAGGTAAATGCTGCCCTTTTGATCTCTAATGGTCGGTAATTTTATGGTATGCATACCTCACTAGTATTGTTGTTATCATTAAGTGTCCTTGAGTCAGTTCCAACTCTTAGTGACCCTGTATAGGGTTTCTGGTACCTAGCTATTGCTTGGCTGAAAATTAAGCCACAGGAGTAAGTTCAGCTCCAGAGGTGAAGAGTATTTCACATTTTGTCTAGCTCTATCCAGGAACTTATAATATGATCCCTTTCAGAGAAGTTGGTCATATAGCTGGGTACCATGTAGTTCTTTTGGTCTCAAGATCATGAAGACCTATGGTCCATTAGTCCATTGAGTAAATTGTTTCCAAGGCATCTTCAATTTTACATTGTTCTTCTGTCTTCTGCACAGAGAGAAACCAATAGTTGTACCTTAAATGGCCACTCATGAACTTTTAAATGATTGGATCTTTTTTGAAGGCACCTTACTAAGAGTAATATAAGTGTATTACTGAGCAAAATTGTCTACAGCCATACACTGATAACAGAGACATATTTAAAATACATTTTGTTTGAAGTAAACTTGTGCATGTATGAACTGGAAACCCTAATAGCAATGCTTTTTGGATTATACTCATATTTCATGAAAATCATATGATTGCCCTTAACCAAATTTGTTCTGATGTTGATACAAATGGCAATTATCATAAAATAGAGCTATAGATTGTATACTTTAATTTTTCTGTGATAAATACTGAATTCCTAATTTTTATTTATTCTTAGTGGTCCATCAAGATTCACAATGGTAGCAGTGAAGCACTTTCCCAATATAAAATGAACATTACCTCCCTAGCACCACTTTTAGAAAAATTGGCAAAGACAAGTGATGTATATTGGGTCTTACAAGGTAAGAAATAAGTAATGAAAAAATGTCATTCTGTGTATATTTTGAAATGTGGATTTTTATTATCCCTGTTTCAAGAAGCAAAGTAACTCCTTTGTGAGAATAAAGTTTAAAATAAGGTCTGCAAAATTAGAATGAACTTGAGTTATTTGTTTTCCTTTTTATGAATTTAGGGAACAGAGACTAATAAATATAATAAGTAAAAGAAAATAAAAAATGTCTTCTAAGGTGTCTCAGCAGACAAAATGACTATGAGAATATAAGAAAGAATTCTAAAGGCAAAGGAGATGTTTTCCTCTGATTTTTTACTTCCCACAAATTCTACATATTGACTGAGAAATAAATATATAGAATGCCTATTAATAAGTTTGTTTCATAATATTAAAATCACTGGAAGTAAATATACTTTGGAATTGACAAGAATGTATTTGAATTTGCACTTGGTAATGACATTCTTTAAGAGTGTGTAAACTTTTTAATTCTACTCATTTCAAGAATGTATTGAATGACCATTATTTAATAACTAGCATAATATACCACCACTCTTCTGTCCGTTTGTCATACTGTGGTGGCTTGTGTGTTGCTGTGAATCTGGAAGCTATGCCATAGGTATTTTAAATACCAGCAGGGTTACTCATGGTAGACAGGTTTCAGATGAGCTTCCAGACTAAGACAGACTAGGAAAAAGAAGAGATGGAATACTTCTGAATACTTAGTCACTGAAAATCTTATGCATAGCAGTAGAACACTGTCAGATAACACCAGAATATTGAATATTGAAACAGGTGAGGAGCACCAGAATATTAGAATATGACTGGGTAAGAGCTACTTCCTCAACGTAGAGTTGACCTTGATGTCGTGAATGAAATAAAGTTTTTGGAGCCTTCATTTGCTGATGAGGCACTACTCAAAATGAAGAGAAACAGCTGTAAATATCCATTAATAATCAGAAGATGGAATATACAAAGTATAAGTACAGGCAAGTTGGAATTGTCAAAAATTAAATGGAACCCATAAACATTGATATCCTAGGCATTAGTTAGCTGAAATGGACTGGTATTGGTCATTTTGAATCTGACAACCACATGATTTACTATGTCGGGGATGACAAATTGAAGAGGAATGGCACTGCATTCGTCTTCAAAAAGAACATCTCAAGATCCTTCTTGAAGTACAGTGCTGTCTTTGATAGGAAAATATCCATAAGCTTAAAAGGAAGGTCAGTTAATACCACTATTATTCAAATGTATGCACCAACCACTAAAGCCAGTGTTGATGAAATTAAAGAATTCTACCAACTTCTTCAGTCTGAAATTGGTCAAACATGCAATCAAGGTGTATTGATAATTACTGATGATAGTAATGCAAAGTTTGGAAAGATTAGCCACTGGAAAATATGGCATTCGTTATAGAAACGTTGCTGGAGATCGTATGATAGAATTTTGCAAGACCAATGACTTGTTCATTGCAATGCTAAAGCAAATGGAAGAAATGAGGGGTAAAAGAGCTGAATAGAAAATTTCAAAAGGCAGCTTGAGGAGACAAAGTCAAATATTGTAATGATTGATATGTGCAAAGATCTGGAGTTAGAAAACCAAAAGGAAAGAACAAATTCAGCATTTCTCAAGCTGAGGGAACTTAAGAAAAAAATCAAGTCTTGACTTTTGTTATTTAAGGATTCTTTCTATGGGCAAATTATTGAATAATTTAGAAATCACCAACAAATGGAAGGAATTCACAGTCACTGTACTAAAAAGAAATGATCAATGTTCAACCATTTCAAGAGGTAGCATATGATCAAGAACCAATGGTACTGAGGGAAGAAATCCAAAGTGCACTGAAGTTCTTGGCAAAGAACAAAGTACCAGGAATTGATGGACAACAAATTGAAATCTTTAAACAAACTGATGCGGCACTGGAGGTACTCACTCATCTATGCCAAGAAATTTGAAAGAGAGCTGCCTGGACAAGTGATTGGAAATGATCCATAGTTGTGCCCATTTGAAAGTGAGGTGACCCAACTGAATGCTGAAGTCAATGGGTAGTATCATCAATATCACATGCAAGTAAAATTTTGCTGAAGATAATTTTAAAAACGCTGCAGCACTATATTGACAGGGAGCTGCCAGAGGTTCAGGCCAGATTCAGAAAAGGGCGTGGAACCAGGGATACTATTGCTGATGTCAGGTGGATCTTGGCTGAAAGTACAGAATACCAGAAAGATGTTTGTTGTTGTTAAGTACCATCGAATAGGTTTTGACTCATAGCGACTCTGAATAGAGTTTCCTAGGAAAGGCTGGTGAGTTTGAACAGCTGACCTGTGGATCAAACCGACCTTGAGGTCAAGTGCTTATCCTATGGCAGTACACCAGCACGCCAGAAGCATGTTTACCTGTGCTTTATTGACTATGACTATGCTTTTGATTGTGTGGATCATGACAAGCTATGGACAACATTGCAGAGAATGAGTATTCTTAAACACTTAATTGTGCTCATGATGAATCTGTACAGGGACCAGGAGGCTGTTGTTCAAACAGAATGAGGGAACACTGAATGGTTTCAAATTAGGAAAGTTGTATGCCAGGTTTATATTATTTCATCATACTTAATCTATATGCTGAGCAAATAAATCTAGAAGGTCAGTTATATGAAGAATGTGGCATCAGGATTGGAGGAAGACTCATTATCAAACCTGCGATATGCAGATGGTACAACCTTGCTTGCTGAAAGAGGAGAGGACTTAAAGTACTTACTGATGGTGATCAAAGACCACACAACTTTCGATATGGGTTACACTTCATTGTGAAAACAAAACAAGAATCCTTACCACTGGACCAATAAATAACATTAAGATAGATGTTGAAAAGATTGACGTTGTCATAGACTTAATTTTGATCACATCAGCCATGAACACTCATGGAAGCCACAGTCAAGAAATCAAACAAAATATTGCATTATTTTGTTTTATGGAGATCCTGTTTAAGAAGATAAATCTGCAGCACAAGACCTCTCTAAAGTGTTCAACTGTAAAGATGTCAGTTTGAGGACTAGTTTTGTGTGACAAAACCATGGTATTTTCAGTAACCTCATATGCATTTTAAAGTTGGACAGTGAATAAAAAAGTCCATAGAATAACTATTACACTTGAGTTACAGTGTTAGAGGAGAATATTATAAGTACCATGGACGACCACTAAAAGCACAAACAAATCTGTGTTGGAAGAAGCACAATGAGAATGCTCCTTAGAAGCCAGGATGGCCAGACTTCATTCCTCATACTTCTGACATATTATTAAGAGGGACCAGTCCCTGGGGAAGGACATCATGTTTGGTAAAGTGGAGGTTCAGTGAAAAAGAGGAAGATTCCCAATGCAATGGATTGGCACTGTGGCAGCAGTTTTGGGATCAAGTGTACTTTGTTCTGTTGTGTGTAAGGTCGCTATGAGCCAGTACTGACTTGACAGCACCTAACAACAACAACAACAGCAGTAACATAATATGATATGCCTTGGGTCTTTTTAGGGTTCAGTATGTTTGTAAGAAACTCTAATGATTATATCCAAATTTAATAACAAGCTGAGAAGAATAACAAAGTATGGTAATAATCTGTTCTATAATTCGTGTTCTATTTGCAGACTCATTGTTACCTCTCAGTAACATGAGAAAAGTTAAAATTTAAATTACTTATAATAAGTAATGAGAGAATAGACAGCCCTTGATCCTCAATAATAGTACCTTCTAATTGGGTGAATAAAGTTTACAATATTGAACAGGAAGAAATATAAAGGTTGACTGCTACTCTTAATTCCACAATGTTCAATACCCAATTTTAATTCACTGTTAACTCAGTGTAACCCCAGTATTCATAAGTTTTAAACTCTTAAGGCATGTAAGAGCATAAAGTTGCTGTTCCACATCTGTGTAGCTAAGAGAAAGGAGTACATTTCTTTAAACTTTCATATTGATTTAATTTAAAATTAAGTGTCAAAATTGATTAACTTAACAGGTGTATATAGGATAGGAAATCTGTTGCAAATGTGGATCAACTTTATGTAAAAATTAACTTATAAATGCCTGAAACCATCTGGATTTAAGAACAAAATATGAAATGTATTTTAGTTAATTTTGCAGGTTCACAATTTCTACCAATAGGAATTCTAATATGTGCTATTAAAAATGTGTTTCATATGTACAGATCCTGTTTATGAAGAGCTATTAAGTGAAAATAGGAAAATGATCACTAATGAGAAGATAAATGCCTACAATGAAGCTGCCGTCAGTATTTTGAATAGTAGCACGAGAAATTCTAAATCAAATATTAAGATGTTCAGTGTTTCCAAATTAATTGCTCAAGAAACCATCATGGAATCTTTGGATGGCTTGCATCTTCCTGAATCAAGCAGAGAAACTGTAAGAGTTCTTACACATGTTAGTAGAGAATATGTTATCTAATTGCTTATTACTGCAGTCACTATGGAGTCCTGGTGTGGCGCTGTGGGTTAATGCGCCAGACTGCAAAGTCATTTGAACTGCAAGGTCGGTGGTTCAAGCTCACCAGCTGCTCCTTGGAAACCCTATACAGGGTCGCTTTGTGTCGGAATTGACTCGATGGCACTTAACAACAATAACATAGTCCCTATAATAAATAAGGTTGTAAATCACTTGTTCATTGTATTCTTAATTACTAATAGTTATTCTATGCAAAGTTAGATCTAGAAATAATTTTGTTTTCCATCACCTGAGTATACATGTAAGTGAAAGATTGAGAATACTTTTAAGAGAGAGAAGCTGTGGGTGGGACGAAATGAAATTGCATTCATTGTGAGTCCCTTTTTTTGTTTACTTTTTGGTGACAATATACACAACAAAGCATAACCTTTCACCAATGTCTGCATGTATACTTCAGTGTCATTGGCTTTACATATCACATGTGTCACTGCTTTCATCATCTGAACCCATGTTGTTTCACCACCATTAATTTAGACTCTGCTGTGTGAAGTTTCTATCTGTGCTTTACAGATGATGTTGTCAATTTGATCTCATAAATAATACTTTTAAGAGTGCAGTGCTCTAAACAAACCTTCTTTATTAGTTGATCTACACTATTATTTAGTTTAAGAAGCCCTGGTATCACTGTGCACTACGCATTGGTTGCCTAACCTCAAAATCAGAGGTAGAGCCTACCAACTACTCCACAGGAGAAAGAAGAGGCTGTCTACTCCTATAGGGGAGCACTGTGGCTCCATACGATAAGCACTGGGCTGCAAACCACAAGGTCCATGATTTAAGCCCACAAGCCACTCCATGGGAGAAAGATGAGGCTGTCCAATCCCTCAACGATTTAACAGCCTTGGAAATCCTAAGTTGGAATCAACTTAAAGGCACTTAATAACAATAACAGCAACAACTACTTCTATAAAGGTTTAGAGTGTCAAGAAAACCCTGTATAGGGTTACTAAAAGTCAAAATCAGCTTGATGACAGTGGGTATTGTTTAGTTTACAGTTGACATCCTGGGGTTGTTTTGTTTGTTTGTTTTATTTTATTGTGAACTAAGTGATAATTAAAATGGGAGAACATTGGCTTTACACCATTGTTTCATTGTAATGATTACAGTTTTCTCCATGCAACATCATTGAACAGTATTTGCTCCATTCTCGCTGTTTTTCTTTTTTGGGGGAATGGGGGTAGGGAGATGCACACAGAAACACTCAGGAATGTATAATAATTTAAACAGCCAAAGGGGACATTCTGCAAGCCTGTGCCTCTTAGCTGCCAGCTCTTGGTTCCTTTCTTTCCATGAGTCTGGAGTCCTCAGCTGCTCCCTCTCTCCATGTCCCCATCTCTGCCTCCAACTCTGGCGTCGCTGCTTCTCTGAATAGGGTCCTACATTCCGCTTGTGTTCTTCTCCATTGAAGGTCCTAGGGTCCTCTGTTTCTGGACTTTAAGATTAACTACTCTCCCGTTTTTGTTAACAGAACTTCTGCCTTTATAGCTGTGACAGTCGCAATTATTCATGATAACAGTTACTCACAATTAAATCATAAGAACCTTATCCCCATCTCTTTCACCAGACCTGTCTAGACAAGATGAAAACTGTTCAGTGGGGGTCTTCCCCCATACACTCTTATCGCCCTCTCATTTTAAGTAGCCATTGTCTAAGTTGCCCATCCCTATCACCTTGTATACAAAGGGGATATGATTGAATTACTGTGCATTATATGGGAGAACATCATAGGAGCTCTGGTAGCGTAGTCGTTACGAATCGGGCTGTGAACCACAAAGTCAGCAGTTCGACACTACCAGCTGTTCCTCAGGAGAAAGATGAGGCTTTCTGCTCCCGTAAAGATTTATAGCCTCAGAAACCCTGTACAGTATCGCCTATGAGTCAGAACCGACTCCATAGCACATAACAACAACAACATGTGAAAGTTTACATGGGTCAGTTCTTTTCTTGCAGAAAAACATGTAAGTTATGTATCCATACATACAGTTGTAGGTACACTTCTAAGTGACTCTGCAGATCCAGTCTGGTGGTAGTTTAGGGACTTTGATATGGAGCCTGTAGATTTGTATCTGCGCAGATGTCTAGCACAGAGCCTTCCGAAGGCTTAAAGGCTGAGATTTTCTAAACCTTTGAGTGTGCTGAAAGCCTAGGCTTACTGTAATGTCATCTAGAGTTCCAAGAAACCTAAAATATAAATATTTTATAAATCTAGATTTTGACAGAGCCTTTAGTTTGACAGAATCTTGACAGTTTTTATTAAAACCATGTTGATTCACCATTTTAATTAACATCTGAAATCTTAAAACAGAATTCTAAGTAGTTTATAAGTGGTAAACAAAAGATATGAAATATTTTTTAAAAGTAATAATTAAAAAAAAAAAAGATAAGAAATAGCTGGAAATTATTTCCCACCCCACCCCCGTGGCAGTTTTTCTACAATCTTGTTTCACATCTTTAGACTTGTACTCTATCTTAAATATCCTGGTGTCTTCCGTTTGAATGTCTGTGAATTGAAATTCTTTGGTCCTTGACATCTGTCAATATTATATAAACTGGAGGTCATGACCCATTAGTAGTCATGAAATCAGTATTTTTTTTTAAAAAAAGAATAATGTAGAAAAATGTTGTTGTTAAGTGCTGTTGAGTCAGTTTTGACTCATAGCGACCCTCTACAAGATTTCCAAGGAGCAGCTGGTGGGTTTGGTCTACCGACTTTAAGGTTGGCGGTTCAGTGCTTATCCTACAGTGCCAGACCAGTTAGAGTGCATTAAAAATAGTAAAGGTAGGTATTGTTTCCTATGTGTGAGGGCTTCAAAGTTCATGAAAGAAATAGAATTAAAGATCATGAGATTTTTCTATGAACTTTTCTATGTGTGAGGGCTTCGAAAAGTTCATAGAAAAATGAACTTTTGTGTGTTTTTTGAGTCGTAATGTGAATTTCTTATTGTGGGTCATAGTCAAAAAAAAGTTTGAAACACCCTGAACTATTACAGACTGAAGGAATAGTATTATTTACTTGAGTGTTTGGGAAATGATAGCAAAAAATACAAAAAGCATTTTGGCTTCAGTCTTGAAAACTTGACAGTATTCACGGGAGACAATCTAATGTGAAACATATTACAGACAAGATAATAACCAAATCCCTTGATTTGTTCACAGAGTGCAATGATTCTTATGAATGTGTATTGCAATAAGATTGTGAAGCCTGTAGATGGTTCCTGTTGTCAACCCCAGCCTCCTCTTACTCTCATACAGAAGCTAGCTGCTTGCTTTTTCACCTTCTCTATTTTTGGATATTTAATTTTTTATATAATTCATCGTAATGCTCATCGGAAGAATAAGCCATGTACTGATTTGGAAGGTGGAGAGGAAAAGAAAAATACTGTCAATATATCTATGTCTCCTTTGGAAATACTATTACAGTCTTTCTGCAAACTTGGCCTGATTATGGCTTATTTCTATATGTGTGACCGTGCAAATCTATTTATGAAGGAAAACAAATTTTATACACATTCATCTTTTTTTATTCCAATTATCTACATCTTGGTTTTGGGAGTATTTTATAATGAAAATACTAAAGAGGTAAGAATTATTTTCTTTTCCACTAATGTTATCCATCTTACTTTACATTCTAAGTGAAAGAAATATTTACTATGCCAGAAAGCACAAATGAATACTGTTGTTATACTTCACTTAGAGTTGCTTTTTAGGGATAATTTGGTTGAAAAATTCACTTGCAGATTGTTGGAAAGGTGGAAAATATGACTTGTGTAAAAGCTATCACAATTTAGTGTTATTTTTGCTTTCTTGGGGATTGAGGGAATGAAGATGCTCCCGTTTTATAATGGCCTTTAAGCATGAGATACTATTAACTTTTATGAATTAAAAATAGAATGATATTAACAAATGCCTTATGCTCAAACCTATATGTGTGTGTTTTGCAATTATATATATATAAATTTAAAACTTATATATTGATGTGGCCACTATTTACACTACTCAAGAATTTCCTATTTTAGAATTTCTGTCATTGCTCACAATATTTGTGTAGTTTTCTTAAAAGGAATGAATTAATAGCACTGGACTGAGAACCTCAAGGTCAGCAATTCAAACCTACCAGCTTCTCAGAAATCCTATACAGGGTCACTTTGAGTCAGAACCTACTCAATGGCACTTAGCAGCAACATTGTAATAATTGAAGCCCTGGTGTGGTGCTGTAGGATAAGCACTGTGCTGATAACCTCAAGGTCAGCAGTTCAAACCCACCATCCACTCCTTGAAAACCCTTTATTACAGGGTTGCTACAAGTTAGAACTGACTCCGTGGCACTTAACTATGACAATATTGTATTAAATGGAATCCTGGTGTGACCCTGTAGAATAAGTACTAGTCTGCAAACTGCAGGTTGGCAGTTCAAACCCACCAGCTGCTTCTCAGATAGCCTATATAAGGTTCCTATGAGTCAGAACCAACTCAAAGTCTCTTAATAGCAACAATAATAATAAGTAACTTGTAAGAGGATGCTTAATCAGTTCATCTCCAGTAAGAATATACTAAGGAAAATAAAGTATTTTATAATTTTCTGATCATAAAGTTTAAGGGACTTGTAATATCATTTCTGACTCTGAATTTCTAAAATTTTAGTGCAAAAATTATAAAATGTCATTTTTAGATATATGAGTATACACATCTGTCATCATTTAAATATAATCTTAATGTGAAATCATAACAATCAACTTAAATATTCAAAATTTCATTTTCAAATTTCAAAAATATTTTTAGCATATTTTTATTAAGAAATTCAGTGATAATTTCAAGCTGTTTTTCTCTCCCTGGTAGTTCTGATAGAGCATTAGTACACTTTTGACATACAAATTTTACTATAAATGTTAACAGTATGAATTTTATCATATACTGTCCAAATAATTATATTTTCATGAATTCTTAAACAAGATTTTGGTTCTTTTATGCAGACTAAAGTATTAAATAGAGAACAAACTGATGAATGGAAAGGTTGGATGCAACTTGTGATTTTGATTTATCACATTTCTGGAGCAAGTACAGTAAGTATTTTTAAATTTAAGTTCAGAAAGTATAGGAAATAATGTCACTTTCCTGGTGTGGCGCTATGGGATAATGCACAAGGTCAGGGTGAACTGCAAGGTCTGCAGTTCAAGCTCACCAGCTACTCTCTTCAGAAACCCTGTACAGGGTCGCTGTTGAGTTGGAACCGACTCTGCAGCACTTCACAAGATGTTTCTTTAAGGGTATAGACTTCTGTGGTGCTTTATATGTTCTTTATCATTTAGAGATCCTTCTCATTTCCACCTAACCTTTCTGCCTTCCCAGTCTTTTCTTGCACTCTGACTTTTTGAGAATGCATATTATATTTACAGCAAATAAAAACTTTAATAAAATAAGGTCAGAGAAGGCAGTAATTGGTTTGTACTTACTTTGCCATGATTTTAACCCTTTCATGACTGAATTATTTTCTGCTTTGGTTTTTTGTTGACACCACTTGCTTTCAGTAATGGAGGGTATGCTGAAATCATGAGAAAAAACTTTTGAGGCACTCAGGATTTTGATAGAGTTGTTTGGGATACATATGTCCCAGGTGGACTCTGGTGGTAACATTGGTGGAAAGAAACCCTTTCTTCAGATTCTTGCAGTTAAACAGCTCCCCACCAGGTAGTAGCATGTACTATAACTGGGATCGTGATTTCCTGAGAAGCCTGAGAGGCTGAAAATATTGGTGAGTGATATGCCCAACAGGTCACAGAAGGGTTAATATTATAGAAACAGCTAATAATCTAAAGATATTAGTTCTTATCTTGTTGAACAACTAGCTGAGAGTTATGAAGAAGCTCTGTAGATGACACTTCATTGCAAAGATTTAGACTAGGCAGTTACTATCAAAAGAAATCAGAATGTTGTATTTTAGATTCTTCCCGTAGCTGCATTTTAGGAAGTTTGGTCAACTGTTTTTATACATTTTTTTCTCCCTTTTATTATTTTTACATTTTAGAAACCTAAATCTTTTGCCCTGATGGTCAAATTAAGATTATGCCCTCAGACACAAATGAATGCCATTGTACACATGCAGGGTGTGACTTCCTAAATATTACCTCCCATGCTGGGAAAGCTGGACAGTGAATAAGGAAGATTGTAGAAGAATTGATGCCTTTGAGTTATGGTGTTGGCAGAGAATACTAAAAGCGCCGTGGGCTGACAAAAGAACCAATAGATCTGTTTTGGAAGAAGTGCAGCCAGAGTGATCCTTAGAGGCCAAGATGGCGAAACTTCATCTCTCATACTTTCGATATATTGTCAGGAGGGAACAGTCACTAGAGAAGGATATCATCCTTGGTAAAGTGGCGGGTCAGAGAAAAAGAGGAAGACCCCCAACGAGATGGATTGGCCAGGTGGCAGCATCAATGGAATCAAGTGTGGCAACAGTAGTGAGGTTGTCCCAGGATCAGACATTGTTTTGTTCTGCTGTACATAAGGTCGCTGTGAGTCAGTGCCGACTCGATGGCACCTAACAACAACAACATGCTGGGGAACTCTTCCTGCTGGTCACTAGTGCCTACTGGGCGAACATCTTTTTTCCTTTTCCCTTGGTGTCATAAAGGACTTTTGGTTCTCATGCTCTGTGTCTACCTTGCATATGGCAGAAATATTAACAAAATGCATTCAATCGGAGTTGTAACATTTTGCTGCATTTTGCTTAAAATAATGCTTTTGAGTGTGTACCTTGGTATCTTCTTGTAACCACTTTTTACCTAAGTTGTTTCAAATAAGACTAAACTACTTTCTATAAAATAATTAAGAAATTCACTCAAAATTTGGGGAGTATCGAATTTCTTTTTAGCACTCTACTTGCTTGTATAAAGTGCATGCTTATCAACTGGAGTTGAATCATTGATAAGTTGAGAGACTTAGTGGAGTTTTGCCCAGAAAGGAGTATTTTTAAATTTTCATGGCAGCAATGAAGAAGGTAAATATTATTACTGGGCTGTTTTTAAGATAACGCTTAAGATTTGAAAATAATGATTATATTCATTAAGTCTATTTACTGTTTAAGGAGCTCTGGTAGTGCAGTGGTTATGAGTCAGGCTGCTAACCTCAAGGTCAGCAGTTCGAAACTACTAGCTGTTCCACAGGAGAAAGATGAGGTTCTCTGCTCCCTTAAAGATATACAGCCTCGGAAACCCTATATAAAGATATACAGCAAGGTTGCTGTACGTTGGAACCAACTCCACAGCACACTACCACCACCACCACCATTTACTTTTTAAAAAAATTATTGAAGATTTTATAAATGATTTAAAGGCTAGATGGCAGAGTAATGCACTATAATTTTTACAGACAATATATGGCTGTGGTGTGTGTATTTGTGGTAGCTGTGACACTGCAGCTGAGTGAGAGAGAGTGAATTTGAGTAGTTATGAAAGAGGCTGTAGAGTGAAAGCAATTTGAGAATAGGTGAACTGGAGATAGTAGGACAGTTTATAAGTCCAGCTCAGAATGTTTCAGATATAGCCAGCATATTCTCTAAGTGGTGAATGAAGACAAAAACTGAATCCTAGAATTTCTCTGACACAAGAATAAAGGCTCACTTAATTTGGGGGAGAAACTTTTTTAAAGAAAATGTCACCTAGATACATAATTAATAGTATCATAAAAAATGATACTACTGCTTTTATTTTTAAATTAGATATGAAGAGTTAATGGCAGAGTTCTTCAATTCACTGATTCCAAAGGGACTTAGGTAATAAAAGAATGAAGGCATTTTAGCTTCCTATTATTATCATTTGCCAAACTAGTTTGCTACCACATTTTGGAATACATTCCAATACTTTCTAAATTACAATTAAAAAAGAAAAAAAAAAATCTCTGTTTGGGATGAGCATACTTTTCATTAGCAAATCATTTGTTATAACAGATTAAAATATTCTAGTTCTTTTGTATAGGATTTTCGTGGTTAAAATTAACTATCTCCATGGGTTATTACATATTTTGGAACTAGGTTCTTTAGTATTCGTTAAAAATTGTAACTGTTATGACTAGCTGTGGTGGCACTGTAGGATAAGCACTAGACTGCTAACTGGTTCAAACCCACCAGCAACATCATGGAAGAAAGATGAGCTGTCTGCTCCCATAAAGGCTTCCTCTCTAAAACTCTATGTAGAGTCTCTGAGTCAGAATTAACTTGATGGCAGTGGGTTTGGTTTTTGGTTTAATCTTAATGTAGGAGCCCGGTAGCCCTGTGGGCTAAGCATTGTGCTGCTAACCACAGTCAGTAGTTCAAACCCACCAGTTGCTCCAGGGGAAAAAGTTGAGACTGCTTTCATAAAGATTAGTCTCAGAAACCCTATACAATGTCACCGTGAGTCAGAATCGACTTGATGGCAGTTTGTTTGTTTGATTCATCTTACTGTAAAGAGTATAGGTCACACAAGGGTAAAGGCACTCTGCCTCTGACAGGAGGTCAGCCATTACTCTGCAGAAGCAAAGTCATGGTGATCTGCATCTCCTGGTGGATTCCAACCACAGTGACACTATGTTGTTGTTAAGTGCTATAGAGTTGGTTCCAACTCACAGCGATGCAGTTTCCGAGGAGCAGTTCGTGAGTTGGAACCACTGACCTTGTGGTTAAAATCAAACTTGTGGTCCAGTGCTTATCGTACAGCACCACACCAGGACTAAACAGGGTATGTCTTCACCATGGCATTTTCAAGGCTGTCATCTTGGCTGTCTTTACGGGGGCAGACCACCACATCTTTCTTCTGCAGAGTAATGGCAGGTTCAAATTGTGTCCTTATGGTTAGCAGTGAGCTTGCATAATCACTGCACCATCAGCCCCATAAAGAAACCCCATGGGGCAAGTCTACTCTGCTATGTATAGTCATTAATTGAAAGTTAGAATAAATCCCATGGCATAAAACAACAAAAATCTTAATGTTTATATTTTGAGTAAACTACTGGACTGCTAACCACAAGATCAGTGGTTCAAACCTACCAGCCACTCCTCAGAAACCCTACACAGAGTCACTATGAGTCTAAATTGACTCAATGACACTTAACAACAGCATGTTAAACTTTAGTTGTGCCGTGTTTTTATGCTAAAATAGAAACTCAAAATTCCAGAGAACATTAAAATAATACAGGTGACCTGGCAGTTTGAAATTATAGGTATAAAAATGCTTTTAAAAATAAAATTTATATCAAACATAGCTAAAACAGTATGAATTTAACATTGAGAGATATATATTACAGTATAGAGTAGATGATATAGTATGCTGTTGTGGTTTTTTATTTTTGCTTTTTGAGAGTTCATAAATAACTTCCATGATTGGAAGAGATCTGTATTTGTGACGATTCCAAGAGAGGTAACCCAACAGAATGTGGAAATCATCGGACAATATCTTTGATATCCCATGCGAGTAAAGTTTTACCTAAAGATAATACATAAATGGCAGCAAGCATACATTGACAGAGAACTTCCAAAGGTTCAAGCCATATTCAGAAGAAGCCGTGGAACGAGGGATGTCATTGCTGACGTCAAATGGATCTTGGCTGAAAGCAGAGAATACCAGAAAGATGTTTGGTGGTGGTTATGTGCCGTGGAGTCAGTTCCGACACTCAGTAGCAACACTGTACAGGATTTCCGAGGCTGTAAATCTTTACGGGAACAGAAAGCCTCATATTTCTCCCATGGAACAGCTGACCGTGAGATTCATAATCACTGCACTACCAGAGCTCCTTAGATGTTTACCTGTGCTTTATTGGCTATGCAAAGGCTTTCAGTTGTGTGGATCATGACAAGCTATGGACAACATTACGAAGTATGAGTATTCCAGGAAATTTAATTGTGCTCATGAGGAATCTGTACATAAACCATGAAGCTGTTGTTCAAACAGAACAAGGGAAGACTGAATGGTTTAAAATTAGGGAAGGTGTGTGCCAGGGTTGTATTCTTTCACCATACTTGTTCAACCTGTATGCCTAGCAAATAATCCGAGAAGCTGGGTTATATGAAGCAAAACGTGGCATCAGGATTGGAGAAGATGATACTTGTTTGCTGAAAGTGAAGACTTAAAATACTGATGAAGATCAAAGCCTTTGGTATGGATTGCATCTCAATATAAAGAAAACAAGGATCCTCACCACTGGACCAATAAACAGCATTCTTACAACAGAGAAAAGATTGAAGTTGTCAAAGACTTCATTTTTCTCGGATCAACCTTCAACACTCATGGAAGCAGCAGTCAAGAAATCAAACAGCATATTGCATTACACAAATCTGCTGCACAGGTTTTTTTTTTCTTTTCTTTTTTAAGGATTTAAAGAACAAAGATGTCAGTTTGAGGACTAAGGTGTGCCTGACTCAAGCCATGATATTTGTAATAACCTCATATGCATGTGAAAGTTGAACAGTGAATAAGGAAGACCAGAGAAGAATTGATGCATTTGAGTTATGGTGTTGGAGGGCAATATTAAATCTACCATGGACAGCCAGAAGAACAAATAGATCTGTGTTGGATGAAATACAGGCTGAGTGCTCCTTAGAAGCCAGGATGGCCAGACTTCGTCTCTCATACTTCAGACCTATTGTCAGAAGGAACCACTTGCTGGCGAAGGATGTCATGTTTGGTAAGGTGGAGGGTCAGAGAAAAAGAGGAAGACCCCCAGCAAGATGGATTGGCAGAGTGGCAGCATCGATGGGCTTGAGCCCGTTGAGCATAGCAATGATTGTGAGGTTGGTCCAGGACCTGGCAGTGTTTTGTTCTGTTGTACATAGGGTCGCTATGAGTTGGTACTGACCCAATGGCACCTAACAATAGCAAATGACTGTATAATTGTGAGAGTTGAATGTCACTGAGCAGCCCTTTTAATTATGTTGTGAGGATCATTAATATTCACCTAAAGGACCAGTGGATATGTAAATGAGAACGAATCCAGTGACTCCCATTTTATGGAGATTCTAAACAAGTTGGTATTTCATTCATGCTAGAAGTGATGATGCGAAGCTCTGAAAATTCATGATATATCATTCTAAGGGACGTAGTGGTGATAAATACACTGGTGTAGGAGTTGAAAATAAAATTGTCTAATAACAAGAGTGGGGGGGAATAATATTTTTAAAGTTTGTTTACATGTGTTTCTTAAATGAATTATTTTAAGTAATCATGTGGCTTTTACTTGTAACTCTAAACTGTATATACAGTGGTCAAAATGTGGGATTTTTGCTTATTTTATTTTTCATCTTTGGGGAAATATGAGAGCTTTTTTATTTAGGACATATGGTGATAAATGATTGTAGCTATCATATATTGAATTCTAACTAGGTGCAAGTTGTTGTTGAAATTGCCATACATTTATAGCTTCCTCATTCCTTACAAGAACCCTTTGAAGGAGGAGAAGACAATAGTCTCATTTTGGGTATTTGGAAATTCAAACTTAAAGTCGCATTAGCAGTACTTAACTTTGTTTTTTAACTCCTGTGATAATGCCTAATTCTCACTTTTGAGAATAAGTGTTTTCATTGAGCTGATACCAAATGATGATGAGCTACTATAAATGTAGTTGTTGTTATAATTCAAGACATATGTTAATGCCAACATTTTTACTTATGTCCACAGTTTTTGCCTGTGTACATGCACATTCGAGTTCTGGTTGCTGCGTATCTGTTTCAGACAGGTTATGGGCATTTTTCATACTTTTGGATCAAAGGAGACTTTGGAATCCATAGAGTTTGTCAGGTAGGAATGCATTCAGTTTTCTTTTTCTCTTGATTCAATGTGCTTTTCTGCCTCACTGTTCACAAACATAAATACAGTCATTATAGGATAATAAGTAATTTAAATTTATGAATAACACTCTAAAATTGTTATTTCTGGGTTCTGTGTTTAATAATTCATGATAAATTATCTATTATGAGAGAAGGGAAAACAATTTAGTTGAATATATAATAAAAATACTAGTACATAAGGGCCAACATTGCTGATTCACTTTTTTGTAGAAATATATACAGTTACAATCTGAAATTGTTAAAATATGCCATGTTTTCTTTCTCTGAGGACTGGATTAGTATTCATTAAGTTTCTGCCTTGTGCCAGGGAATTTCTAAACATCATTCTTCATTACAAACCTGAATTGTTGTCATCATAGTCACAGACCAGAAACTGAGGTTCAGAGAGATTAAATAATTTACCCAAGATAACATAGTAAGTGATGTATATATAAATATGACATTGTTGTTAGTGCTGTTGAGTCAATTCTGACTGGTAGTAACCCTGTCTAGGGTTTCTGAGGCTGTAAATATTTATGGGAGCAGAAAGCCTCATGTCATCTTTCTCCCGTGGAGCAATTGGTAAAATGCAACTCCTGACCTTGAAGTTAGCAGCAGCCCGGCTCATAATCCAGTACACAACCAGGACTCCTCAGAGTCTAATACAAAGCTGCTCACATCCTGCGTGCTTTGAATAATATCACACTAATTGCCAAAATGACTTGTTAGAAAACTCACAAACACTTTTAAAATTTGAATATTATTCTGTATATATGACTACCTTCAGTTTAATCCCAAATGGTATAAATCATTATCAAGTAAGAGATGAAATGGACACCCTTTTGTTGTGGTAGTCTTATATCTGCATATAAATTGTAGCCCTAGGAAGAAGGTTTCCCCTTCCTTTCTTACATTTAGCAAGCTGAAAAATATAGCTAGAGGACATGCTGGGGTTTAGTTAATGTAATGCTGCATAAATATTTTAAATTCAACTCTTTACAGTGACTGTAGAACAAATGTAATTTTGTACATTAATAAAGTATTTTCTTACAGCTATCATTTTAATCTTAAATAAACATTCTCTCAGACAAAAACTGACTTTGTTTTTTATGTATACCTGGAATGAAAACCATTTTCTTCCCTTTTTTTTAATAGGTCTTATTTCGTCTCAATTTCCTGGTAGTGGTGTTATGTATAGTAATGGATCAGCCTTACCAATTCTATTACTTTGTCCCCTTGGTAACTGTATGGTTCATGATCATCTACGTTACTTTAGCACTGTGGCCACAGATAATCCAGAAAAAAGCAAATGGTAACTATACTCTCCTACTAATGTTAATGACTACATTCTTTCAGTGTATTAAATTTCTTTTAGTTACCAAAGGCCATTATTTATATTGAGTTTATTTTTATGTATAGTTTGACGTTTTGAGATTTTGTTCTTAAAACACATTTCTAAGATACTACAGCCAATTAATTAAAGTAGTATGACTTAGTGAAGAATAATATTTTCTACTTATTTTGTATGTATGTGTTTTTTTCCTTTCTAAAAAAATTTTCAAAGCCATTTTTCATATTAAGTAATGCAGCTGTTTTCAGATTGTGTTGTATTGAGCCAGAATGGCAGGACATAGAAGAGATAAGAACTTGCTAAGGAAACAAAAGCCAAGTAGGGCTCCAGGTTCCTTTACTATGTTTCAGTCTTAGCAGCTCTGCTTTTATTTGATTGCTTACATTTTGAGATATTGAGTAAACTCATTTGCAAAAAGACTTTTTATATCGAAGTTTAAAATGTGAATATAGTTGATATTCTAGGCAAAGCTGTAGGCAATTGTTATTATCCTGTTGTACACCTGAAGTAACCTGAGTGTCCAAGACAGTTCCATTTTCAAATTCCCCATAGTCATTTACCAATAGTGTTCCAACTGAGGCCAGATATATTTATCTTAATGCTTTTTATTCTCAAGATCATATCATTCAAATAAAACCTTCCCTTTTTTGAAAAAGTTTTTTAAGGTATTAAATTTATTCTTCTAATGAAATTTCATGTATTAAAAATATTTTTTCCATTGACTTCAATTATAATATCAAGTAATTTTTTAAGGAAATAGTTGTGTTCCAAATGCCAATATGTAGTCCAGTAGTGTTTTTGAATAGTCTCTGTAGTCCGATTGCTTATACTACTCAGCTTATTAACCAATTGAACAGCCAACATGTACTAACTTTGAGTATATAATTTTGAACATGCCTATATTAAAATATATCTTACCTCCTAGTCTATTAGGACATTTAAGCTCTCCCCTTGGAACTTTAATGTTTAATAAGTATTAAGTTTATCCAACATAAGTGTTTGTTAGAATTATATTTAACATATTACTCCAAAACTTTGTTAAAACTTTCAGTGATGAATATTGTTGCTAAGTATGCCAATGAGTCTGCTCCAACTCATAGCGACCTTGCATAGGGTTTCCGAAACTATAAATTTTTGTTGGAGCACCTTTCTCCCACAGAACGGCTGGTGGGCTCAAGTCACTGACCTGTGGTTCACAGTCCAGTGCCTATCCCACAGAGCCACCATAAGCCTTCAATAATATATTGTAGTTAAGTGCTGTCGAGTCCATTCCTACTTCATAGCCACCTTGTATTGGGTTTCCAAGGAGTGGCTGGTGAGTTTCAACCATCGATCTTGCAGTTCAAACAGCCCTTGCAGTTGAGTGTATTATCCTGCAGCGCCACACCAGTACTCCCAAGAATGAATAGGTGTAATTAAATCCAGGAAGCATTTTCAAATATACTTACAGTAAATGAATGTAAGTGTATAGGATATTATGTATGTTTTGGACTGATTTGTAATAAGGATCTTTAAATACCTGTTTTTTCCTTTTTGCCCTACTTCTTACCTATGCTACCTAAATACATATACATTATGTATAAGCTGCAGGAGAAAGATGAGGCTTTCTGTCCTGTAAAGATGCGTAGCCTCAGAAACTACAGAGGGTTACTATGCATTGGAATTGACTTGATGGCATTTCACAATAACAGTCATTTTAAAGAACTGTGCAGCACATAAATGCTTTAATGTAGAGAATATTAATAATGTAATGTGTTTTCTAATGTCAACTTACATTTCTTAGTTAATTCATATATTTTCTCTCTCAGGAAATTGTCTCTGGCATTTTGGCTTACTGTTGAAACTAGCCTTCTTGCTGTTTTGTATATGTTTTTTGGCATATTCTCAGGTTTGTACAGTTTTTCCATTTACATTTTATTTTAAAGTTCAAATCTATTAAATCCAGATTAAAGTATGTGAGAAGCGACATAGCTTTTTTAGCTTCCTGTTTTAATGACTATAATCAAAGTGTCATTCTGCAGTTGACTACTCAGTGTAGTTCTTTTGAGACCTATCCACTTTTGGTGTCACTGTTTTTGTTGTAAGCACAGTTTTAAGTTCTTCCTTTGGCAGTAGTTGAAGAACCATTTTACTTGACTTTGATCAATCAAACATTTTTTGAACGCCTCTTGTAAGACACTACTCTTAAGTGGAAATCAAAATTCGCTTGACAGAACTTGCTACTTGGTTTGTGCATTATTCATTACAGCAAAGTGTGTCTTGATTTTTTTAATATATAACTCTATACAGTAAAATTTAATAAAATGAACTTAGAAGCTGAAAGGATTGTACATATGTAATAAGCTTATTTTTTTTGGTCATTTTTCTAACTTTAAGCTTTATCCCCCTACTCTTAGTTGAAATTTTCTGTTATTTTCAACAGGGGTGTAAAATTCTGCCTGCTCAAACTGTCAGGTACATGTACTATTTGCTGTTGTTAAGTGCCGTCAAGTCAATTTTGACCCATAGTGACCCTGTAGAGGGTTTCCAAGGAGCGATTGGTGAGCTTGAACCACCAACCTTGCAGTTCAAACCGACTTAGAAGGTCTAGTGCATTAACTTACAGCATCAACCAGGACTCCAGATCTATTGTTAGGGCAGTGTATTATTTATTAGGAGCCCCAGTGACACAGCAGGTAAATGTTCACCTGCCAACCAAAAGGTCAGTGGTTTGAACCCAACAACCTCTGGAAGAAGATGTGACAGTTTGTTTCTATAAAGATTAAAGCCTTGGAAACTCTTTGGGGCAAGTCTTCTCTGTCCTCTGAAGAGCAAGGTGGCTCTGTAAGATAAGCACTGACCTTCAAACCACAGGGTCAGCAGTTCAAACCTACTAGTCACTTCATAGGAGAAAGATGAGACTTTCTGCTTCCATAAAGATTTTCAGCCTTGGAAACCCTATACAGGGGTCACTATGTGTAGGAACCGGTGCATAACAACAACTGTGTCCCATAGGATGGCTTTGAGTCAGGATCAACTAGATGCCAATGATTTTTATGTTATTTATAGTAAAATATTTTAATTTGAATGCCTAGACTGTCATGTTCTGCAGTTTGCTCTCCAACCCTTTCTGTTTTACCCCTGGCTGCTTCAGGTATAAATGCCCGATAAGAAGAGCATGTGTATGAGTGTTGTCATAAAGTTGAGTTGTTTTAATTTGTTTCAATATTTTTGTTTTTAATAGGCTTTTATACTTATTTTTATATTTAGAAATATGTAATGTGTCTATTTTTGCCTGACATCTAAGGTTTTTTATAGGAAATAAATAATAAGAAAACAGCATGCAAATGTGTAAACATAAATAGCTAGGTAGCAGTAACAACCACTTTAAGAAGTACTCATTAAAATTCCCAACACTCTGTGGGTGTCCTTGAGGAAAAGAACAAAAGCTCGTCTAGAGGCTCAGTAGACATACTGAGTTGGTATCCCTGTTTGGGTCAGTGTTGACCATAGGAGGAAAAAAGTATATAGTCCAGTGTCTTGCACAAAGCAAGTAATCAATAAATGTGTGTTTGTAGAATATATAAGAAATAAAATTTTTAATTAAAAATAAAGTTTTTAATTAGAGGCATATGCATATACTCTAGAGACAAAGGTGAGTCAAAAAGTATTGCTACTATAGTTCTAGCTCATACATGCACTGATTTACTCCAAACAATATGTGTTTAATGGTCTTTATCATTAATGTATGGCTGCATACAAAATTTATCAGTAATACACTTAGTCTCATTGGGGTGCCTTCATTAAGAGCAATGGCTTCCCAGGGGATCTGCTGAGCCAGTTAAAATCAAAGCAGAGAGGTCAGCTCAAGGTTACGGCTTTAGGATTCCAAAGGTGCATTCTTGATAGATTTTCTTGAAAAATACAGGACAATCACAAGATCTTGTGAAGAACTGTTAAGAAAATGGAATATCACATGGATGAGAAAAAGGGCAGTAAGTTGTGCCAAAGAAGGTTTTTCTGTCATGACAGTGTACCGGCTATGTAACAAGGGGATGGTTCTAGGAAGATTTTGTTGGGAAGTTTTACCCCATCCACCCTACAGCCATGCTTTTACCCCTTCAAACTTCTTTTTTGTTTTCAAAACTCAAACCCCCGCCACCATCACGTTTATTCTGATTTATTTTGACCCTATAGGACAGACTAGGGTTTCCAAGGCTGTAAATTATTATGGAAGTAGAGAACCTCATCTTTCTCCTGCACAGTGACTGGTAGCTTCAAACCACTGACCTTTGTATTAATAGTTCAATGCTTGACACACTGAGGAACGCAGTTTGAGTCCCTTGAGCATACCAAAACTGCCATCTTGATGTGCTGTAAATGAAAGCATGCGGAATGCTTCAGCGAAGAATTAATGGAAGCACTGTATTCAGAAGTGTATAGACCTAACCAGAAGATATCTTACGAAACAGTAGCTTCACATTTTGATATTTGTTTAATAAAGGTTGTTGTTGTTGCAATACTTTAAAAAACACCCTCATATATGTTCTGTACGATCACATATAATAGATAATCTGGTTTAGAGTGGTGGGTTAATGCTCTAAACTACAAGGTTGGTTTGAACCACAAGGTCAACTGTTCAAGCTCACCAGTCGCTCCTTGGAAACCCTATGCAGGGTCGCTATGAGTCAGAATCGATTCATTGGCAATTAACAACAGATTATATCAGTATCTGTATGGAGTACTGGTGTGGTACTGTAGGATAAGCACTGGACTGCTAACCGAAAGGTCAGTGGTTCTAACCCACCAGACATTCCTTGGAAACCCTTTACAAGGTTACAATGCATTGTAACCAACTGGATGGTGCTAACAATAACAAAAATATGACTTAATCGATCATAATGACAGATGGTGTATATATGTGTGGTTTATAAGTACTTGAGACTGCAACTTCGTAATCTTATGGGGTGTAAATTTTGGACTCGCGGTGTGGTGCTCTAGGGTAAGCACTGGACTGTGAATCATAAGATCAGCAATTAAGACCCACCAGACCTGTTCCTTGGAAACTCTATACATAGTTACTATGAATTGGAACTGAATCGACAGCACTTAATGACAAGATTTTTATAAAACCTATTTTTAATATTCTGTTTGCCTTTGGAATTCTGTGGTTAAATTAATAATGTTCTATTTTATTAAAATAATAAAATTCTTCTGACCTAAAGGTTTAGCAGTACTTAAAATGTAGTATTATTTTAATACTTTTGCTTTGTTTTTTAATTGCCTTTTCCTTAAATGATGATGCTACATTTTTTAAGCTGTGACATTAAGTCTAAGAATGGTCCTCTGTAATAGAGTTTGTCATTATTCTTCAGCCTGGAAAGTGAGGGTTTTGTTCTCTTCTTTGAAAGACTTCATTGGTGTGCAGGAATACACTCAAGACTTCTGCCCCTTCATTCCCAGACTTTCCAGGATTAATAATAGAGTACCATTCACTAGCTTGACCAGAGTAATTGTAAATTTTGTTTCAAAGTCTGGTAATGCATTTTGGATATGGTTGATTGAGTAAAGTGACTGACTAAGAGGATTCTCTTAACTCAAATATTTAATTATAGACTTAAAAGGACATTTATTAAAAGAAAACAATATTTTAGCCTTAACAATCATTCTTTAGAATATTGATACCGTGTTACCTGTGAAACCTTTTTTGTATTTTGATTGGTAAATAGTAGTTGTTGTATGTACTGGATTAAATACTTTAAATGGAATAATTTTCTAGTTGTCAAGGTTTTGTTACTTTCACATTGTCTCAATACCCTTTCATGTGAAGTGAAAGTTACAGTTTTAAGTCGTCCTTATTGATATGGTAAAAAAAATTTGAATTTTCAAATGAAATAAATCTGTTACAAATTGTGAATAATCCTAACTTTAGGGAAGAATAGTTTATAGTAGTATTGTAAAGCAAGGATTGACTTGGACCATCTCACTTTATTTTCTGGATTTCTTAGGGTGCATTTGAGAAGATCTTTTCTCTTTGGCCATTGTCCAAGTGTTTTGAACTGAAAGGAAATGTGTATGAATGGTGGTTCCGATGGAGGTTAGACCGTTATGTATGTATTTACCTTTTGATCTTTTGCCATTACTAATTATAATTTTTTTAAATTATCTGGGAAATTTTAATCTTTTTATTAGATTGAAAATATGGAACATGTTGATTTGATGAACCAATGCAATTATGGGTGACCCTCACCCCCTTTATTTTATAGCAGGGAAAGGGTTTGTGTATCTGTATCAACAGGAAAATAATGGAAAATTTTGTTTACAAATGAGTTTTACTTGAGTTATAATTTTGATTTATAGGTGCTCCATAAGATAAATAATTCAGCCATTTAAAACAGTATTTATTGAATGCCAATATGTGTCCTCTGTGTTGGTGTTATGAAGATTCCATTAGAGGAAGAAGTCATAACAACCAGACTTCTGTGATCAAGTTTAAAACTCAAGATTGCTACTTTTACTTGGGTACAGCATAGATTTTGAGTGGAAGTGTGCAGAGAGCACTGTTGAGGTTGAGTCCTTGTACTTGTACCTTGAAGGAAGGCGCCCTGATGACATAATGGCTAAAATCTTGGCTGTTAGCCAGATAGGGCAGTTCTAACCCAGTAGCTGCTCCAAGGGAGAAGAGATCTGGCAATCTGTTCCCATAAAGATTACAGCCTAGGAAACCCTATGGGACAGTTCTACTCTATCCTGTAGGGTCACTGTGAGTCAGAATTGATTGGATAGCACACAGCCACAACCTTCAATTGGCAAAGAAGACATAAAACTTTTACCACATCTTTTGGAAAATATAGACAATAGATGTTAATTACCTCTCTTCGGTGTTTACCTTCTTTCTTTTCTTTTACTCATTCCTTTTTGTTGTTGTTGTTAAGTGCCGTGGAGTCAGTTCTGACCCATAGCGACTTGTACAGGGTTTCCGAGGCTGTAAATCTTTACGGGAGCAGAAAGCCTCATCTTTCTCCCACGGAGCAGCTGGTAGTTTCGAACTGCTGACGTTAAGGTTCGCAGCCCGATTCGTAACCACTACGCTACCAGAGCCTCTTTTTGTTAGTCAGCAAATATTTTCTGAAAGCTATTTTCTATGCCATTTCTGATTTCCTGTGCTCTATGATCTTTCCAGTGTACTACATTGCATTTCAAAAGCATAAATGAAAAATGAAAGCTTTGCTAAAGTATTGACATCAAATAATCTTAAACTCTCAACTTTCTCATTGTTGTTAAGTGCCATCTACTTGGTTCTGACTCATAGTGACTCTGCATTGGTTTTCCAAAGAGCAATTGGCTTGTTTGAATGGCCAACCCAGAGGTTAGCGGTCCAGGGCTTATCCTGCAGCGTCACTCCAGGACTCTTAACTAATAGAGCAGTCTATTATGATATGATAGACCTTTAAAATCCATGTGAAGTCTTTGTTTAAAAAGGACACCTTACATGCTTACTGGTCCACTCCCCCCCCCCACACTCTTTTAAATTATGATCTTAATGGTATTTTGTTTATTTTATTTGACTAAAGGGACCAATATGAAACGTTTTTTTATCTTATTGAGTACACTTAAATTGTGCCGTGCATTTTAAAGGACGTATCTGATCTTTCTTTCTTAAATTGTCATTATTTCTTTACTTCCTGCTAAGACTACTCAGAACTAATCAGTGTATCACATTTTGTTGCGTGAGATGTTTTTGCTTATCTACTGATGATGAGTTCTAACTGTCATTAGCTTTTATTTCATTCTTGGAGTTTCATGCTTGAAGTTTAAGTACTTCATAGAAACTCCAAACCTTTAAGCTTATAGCATGCTTACTTTTATACTTATATTCCCCATTAATCAAATATTTATTCTATTTTTTGGAAAATAGCTCTTTAAGGCAGATTTTGTCTCCTTACTTTCCAGGTAGTCTTTCATGGAATGTTGTTTGCTTTCATTTATTTGGCTTTACAGAAGCGCCAAATACTTTCTGAAGGAAAGGGTGAACCTCTTTTTTCAAACAAAGTTTCAAATTTTTTATTGTTTATTTCAGTAGTTTCTTTCTTGGTAAGTTTCACAATTTTAATTTTCAAAAAATTTAGCCTATCAAATTAATTTTAAGAAATAAGAATATAACAGATATTTTTGACAAAATCTTTGTTAATGGTCTTATTAGATATGTGTGTGTTTATTAGTATGAAGAATAACTGAGAGTTAGGAACTTAAAAAGTACTGAGAAATTTGAAGAAAAAAATCTAATGGGAACTATTTTGTTTGAACAACCTTCCCAGCCTTACAATTGCTGTTTCCAGATAAGCACAGACTTTTGCTTGTTTCTTTCCTCTTCCCTATGTTTAGCACATTGAAGCAAGTGACAAATAAAACCCACAGGCAGTTTTCACTACGGTTACTAAATAGCATAAAGAAATACAGTTTTATAAATAAATAAAACTTTTAAAAAATAGAGAATTATGCCTCTTTAAGGACTATGTTTTTGTTCGTTTTAAACTATTCCTTACATTTTTGTTTTAGACCTACTCCATCTGGGCTAGCAGTTGTAAAAACAAAGCAGAGTGCAATGAACTCCATCCATCTGTTTCTGTGGTACAGGTAATTATCTTGATTTAAAGAATGTTTATTTCTTGATTCTTCTTAAGAACAGTCTTTGGAATCAGAGTTTTTGTAATCAAACTCCAGAAAATGTAAGTGAGTTACTTAATCTTTCTTAACTCTACCTTCCTCTATTCTTTAATGTAGTTGTTGTTGTTTGTGTTAAGTGCTGTCGAGTCAGTTCCGACCCACAGTGACCCTGTATAGGGTTTCAGAGGAGTGGCTGGTGAGCTTGAACTGCTGACCTTGTAGTTCAAACCAACTTTGCAATGCAAGGTATTAACCCACAGCACCACACCAGGACTCATGTAGTAGATATATAGAAAACTTTTTCAAAAGGCTGTTCCATTGAATATATGGAAACAATCTAATATGTTATCACTTAATAGGTCCTCAGAAAATGCTAATTCCCATTATTTGCTTTTCTTCATTTATTCAAATGTCTTCATTTATTTATTCAGTCATACTTATTAAATATTTGCTTTGTGTTAATTGAGATTCCCGTTGTAGCTCTGTAGGATTAGCACTGGGCAAACCACAAGGTTGGCAGTTCAAACCCACCAGCTGCTCCTTGTAAACCTTTATACAGGATCATTATGAGTCAGAAACCACTCGACAGCACTTAACAACAATAAAGTCAGACCTCAGCTGAAGAAATGGGCAAAATGTCTTAAGTAAGAAGCCAAGAGGGTATTACATTCTTAGAGTCCTGGTGTGGTGCAGTTTTACATTTAACAAATAATGCACTTTGTTTCATCTCAATTTTTGCAATTGCAGTCCCCTCCATGGACCAATAGCTATCCCGCTTCCTCCCTGTGGCTCCTGTTTCCATTACACCTACCTTCCCAGCCCTTTCTCACCTTTGTCCTTAGGTACATGTACCCTTTTTTATTTTGAATGATTGACTGTTTCATCATTCATAGTGACCATATTTACTAGTATTGTAGTTCCTCTGTCTGTCTATCTATCTCTGTCTATCTTATCTATTTACTAGTATTGTAGTTCCTCTGTCTTTCTTATCTATCTGTCTGTCTATCTGTCTATCTATCTATCTATCTATCTATCTATCTATCTATCTATCTATCATCTATCTGTTTGACTGAAAAAGGGCCACAAGTTTGAGTTTCTTTCCAGACCTGAAGGGTGGTCAAGAGCCTTAGTCTCAGGTTCCTATAGTCTTTCTGACCAATAAACCTGGTCTTTTTTTTTTTTTTTTTTCCCTCTCTATCCAGGACCTTCTAATGTGATCCCTTTCAGAACAGGTGGTAGTAGTAGCTGGGCACCACCTAATTCTTCTGGTTTCAGAGTAATAGAAACTGTTATATGTTCCTAGTCCATTGGACTAATTGATTCCAAATACTTTCAGGTCTCTTCACTCTTCTTTCTTCTGCACATGGAGAGACCAATAGTTGTACTTTACATGGCCACACATGAGCTTTTAATATTCTGTACTACTCATCTAAATAGTACTTCTGGTGTGGCACTGTAGGATCTGCACTGAACTGTGAACCACAGGTAGGCAGTCCAAACCCACCAGCTGCTCCTTGAGTCTCAGCCAATTCCACGGCACTTATCAACAACAGTACTCACCTAAGTAGGATGTAGAACTTTGCCGTGGTGGACTGTGATATGCCAGTTGACTATCGTGTTTCTTGAGATGTAGTTCTGAGCCCCCAGGCTTTAAGATGTTTGATAATATGTTAAGACATTTTCATCATTTTGCCCACTGTATGTTCTGGTAGTGTAGTGGTTACGAATAGGCCTGCTAACCTCAAGGTTGTCAGTTCAAAACTACCAGCGGTTCTGCGGGAGAAAAAGGAGGCTTTCTGCTCCCATAAAGATTTACAGCCTCGGGAACCCTGTACAGGGTCGCTATGAGTTGGAACCGACTCCACGGTACTTAACAACAACAACAACAACAACATGATCTCCCATATTCACAGTTGTGTTTTTAGGAAAGGTACTCATATCCTCTTTCAAACTCTTGTATATATGTGGGATATTTAAATATTTATATATACACACACATACATATATTGTTGTTGTTGGTAAGTGCTGTTGAGTTGTTTCCAACTCATAGCAACCCTGTATCGAGTTTCCAAGGAGCAGCTGGTTTGAACTGTGGACCTTGTGCTTCGCAGTCTTGTACTGATCCTACAGTGCCACACCAGGTGTCTATATATATACAAGTGTGTATACACACATAAACACACACATTCCTCTGTTCCTCTCATACCCTTTCAGCATTTGTCTCTATGCATGTATCTCCCCACAGAACACTGTTGTTCCAACACTGTATATATCACTATTTACCTCTATCCCCTTTAACCCTTGTATACCTCCCTATATCTTCACCTGTCTTCATCATTCTTCTGCCAACTTCCCTCTTCTTAAATATTGTCCTCACTTTCTTGTATATTGCCCTCCCTGTCACCTGAGTTAACATGTGTCTACCCTGTAGTCAGTGATCTACGCTCCCTTCCCTCCCACCCCTAACAAACATAAAGAATGTTTCTTTTTTTTTTCTTTCAAACTCTTACATATTTGTGGGTCATATAAACTTACATATCCGATTCTTCCTCCTTTACTTGTTCAGCCTATGTTTCAATCCACTTATCTACACAGAGACCACTGTTGTTCCATGGTTGTGTATATATCACTATTTACAAGTATCCCTTTCAGTTCATGCCCACCACCCTGTGTCTTCAGCTGTCTTCATTATTCTTGTATATTGCACTCCCTGTCACCTAAGCTAACATGTGTCTATCCTCTAGCCAGTGAATGACTTGCCCCTCCCTCCTACCCCTGGAAACGATCAAATAATGTATCTTTTAATATGTAAAATTTTATAATAATGGTCTCATACAATATTTGTCTTTTTGTAATTGACTAATTTTACTTAGCATAATGTCCTCCAGGTTCATCCATGTTATGTGCTATTTTGCAGATTCATCGTTATTCTTCAACATTGCTTAGTACTCTGTTGTGTGCATGTACCAAAGTTCATTAATCCACTCTTCTGTTGATGGCCACTTGTCTCCATCGTCCATCTATTTTGAATAGTGCTGCGGTGAACATCAATGTGCATATATCTACTTGTGTCCTGTCTTGTATTTTTTGTGGATATATACCCAGTAGAGAGGGGTTGCTGGGTGGGTCACAAGGTATTTCTGTTTCCAATTTTCTGAGGAATCACCATACCGTTCTCCAGAGTGGTTGACCCATTTTATAGTCTTACCAGCAATTCAGGAGGGTCCCAGTATCCCCATACCCTCACCAGCATTTTTTGTTTTCTGGGTGTGTTTTTTTAAAACATTGCTGTTAATATTGGTGTGAAATTATATCGCATTGTTGTTTTGATTTGCATCTCTAATGGCTAATGAGCGTGAACATTTTTTCATATATTTGTTCGCTGCTTGTATATCTTACTTGGTAAAGTGTCTGTTCATGTCCTGTGCCCATTTTGTCTGTTTTTTGTAGAGGTATTGTAGTTTTCTACAAATTTTAGATATTAGTCCCTTGTCTGATTTGTCATTGCTAGAAATTTTTTCCTAGTCTGTGGACTCCCTTTTTACTCTGTTCATGAAATATTTTTATGCGTGTAAGTTTCTCATTTTTAGGAGGTCCCAGTCATGCTATTTTGTCTTCTACTACTTGTATGGTTTTTGTACTGTTTGATTGTGTGTGTATGCCATGTACTAGAACCCCTAAGTTTGTCCCTAGCTTTTCATTGGTGATCTTTATCGTTCTAGGGTTTACATTTAGGCCTTTAATCCATGTTGAGTTTGTTCTTGAATATGGTTTGAGGTATTGATCTTATTTTATTCTTCTGCAAATCAATTTTCAATTTGTCAGCACTATTTGTGGAAGAGACTATGTTTTCTCCATTTAATGTGTTTTAGACCTTTGTCAAATATCAGTTGACTACTATATAGGTGGATTTACTACTGGATTCTCAATTCTGTTGCATTGGTCTTTGTATCTTAAATAGTACCAGTACCAGGCTCTTTTGGTCACTGTGGCTCAGTAGTAATTGTTGAGATCTGTTTGTGAGAGGCCTCCCAACTTTATTCTTCATAAGCAGTGCTGTCCTTGTCACAGGTCTCCTCTTTCCTCTCCATATAAAGTTCGTCATCATTTTTTCCATCTCTTTAAAGATTGATGTTGGAATCTGGTTTGAGATTAGGTTATATCTATAGATTGCTTTGGGTAGTATTTAAATTTTCACAATGTTAAGTCTTCCTAATCCATAAGCATGGTATATTCTTCTATTTTTGGTAAATCTCTTTGTAGTTTTATTTGTGTATGTCTTTTGTTAGATTTATTCCTAAGTATTTCATCTTTTGGGTGGCTATTGTAAGTGGTATTGTTTTCCTAATTTCCTTTTCAGAGCTGTCTTTATTAGTATAGAGGAATCTGATTAATTTTTGCATGTTGATTTTATACCCTGCCACTTTGCTGAATCTCTCAGTGAGTTCCAATAATTTTCTTGCTGAGTCTTTGGAACTTTTTGTGTATAGGATCATATCATCTGCAAACAAGAGTTTTGCTTCTTCTTTGCCAATTTGGATGCCTTTAATATCCCTATCTTGCCTTATAGCTCTGGCTAAGATTTCCAACACAATATTGAGTAGAAGTAGTGATCAAAGACATCTTTATTTAGTTCCTGTTCACAAAGGTAATGCTTTTAGTATCTCTCCATTGAGAGTAATTCTGGCTATTGGATATATAATCTTAATTGTGCTGATGAATTTCCTTAGTTCCTTATTTGTTTGTTTGTTTTTTTATATAAAGAATGGATATTGAAATTTCTCATGCACCTTTTCTGGATCAATCTAAATGATCATGTGGTTCTTTTCCTTTTTTTTTTTTTTAATTTAATGCTGAATTATATGTTGGTTGATTTTTTTTTTCAATGTTTTATTGTGAATTATATGATAGTTTACATGAGAGAACTCTAGTTTTACATTCATTCCATCGCCTATCATTACATTGCCATGGTTCCAATCCCCTCCATGCATCGT